CAGCACCACCAGCACCAGCACCAGCAGCACCAGCACCAGCACCAGCAGCACCAGCAGCAGCACCAGCAGCACCAGCAGCACCAGCAGCATCAGCAGCACCAGCATCAGCACCAGCAGCACTCAGCAGCACCAGCAGCACCAACACAACCAGCACTAGCACCAGCTACCACCAGGGAATCTCTCACTCCAATCGATTTTTTATCATATTTTCTTCAGACCACCGGACTGTCCGTGACAAAAACCATCCTCAGACAAGAGTCCCGAGCCCACGCAGTCCCACGCAGTCCCACCGCGGTGTGGAAGTCCATCCAAAGACACCGGGCTTTGGGGCGCCCCAAACAGACGGTGAGGGCATGTGAAATGGGGAGGCATGCGGATCAATTTTGTTCCTCAGGTCGATTACACTGATGACACCCTGCAAAAAGGTAATGCTGTGAAAGAGTTGATGTTCATCTGGGTGTGGCTGGTAGCTCATAGCTTTTTCTTGAAGACTCAAGCATCAGGAGCTTTGCAGTCATAGAACCGGAACCGAGAAACACTCATATCACGGAGAGGATATCAACGCTCATCCTCGGAATCACAATCACCTGAATTTGGGGGGGTGGATTACTGTAAAGGAAAGACCACGCTCCAATGCCACTTGTCGCGTCATCGTCATTCGATCCTCTTCGAGTTTGGTGCGTCTTCTGCAACGCCCAGATGAAGCAGCAGCTGATGTTGAAGGAGAGCGTGGAAGCAGTTGGCATCTTACATTTGCCTCACGAAAGAGGGACCACAGGGACCACGCTCCATGTCGGACGTTGATGTGGCTGTGGGTCAAAGCTACCTGGAGGAGGTCAACCTACCAGGGAGTACTGTAAGCGGGTGATCTTGACCCCCAGTCAGCCCAGCTTCTTGGTCCTGTGCCGGAGCGCTGGCACAAAAAGCCAGGTGCTTCCTTCTTGCAGTGTTTCTTTGTTGCCGTGCTTTCGCTTTTGAAAAAGAGGTTTGGCGTGGCTAATAGCCTCTACTCATTTCTACAATCTAGTTTGACAGGTATCTCTTCTCGTTTGCGGTTTCTTCTCTTGGATTTGACCTGTTTCCGGCACCTCCAGAAACGTCAGACGCGCTGAGGCACTGCAACAGAAAATCAGCTACATGGAGCTCCAACTTCGGCAGAAGGACACACAGAAAACTAATCAACGAACAGTTCGCACTACAGGTTTGGTTTGTCTATACTTCTTACAAGAACCTTTAGCCCTGTAGCGGGGGTCTGTCCGTCAATCAAGAGACCACTGTTCCTTGACCAGACATTGGTCGATAGCCTGGTATGATTGTGTGTGTGCCTGGCCTGTCCCCATCGGCAGGACCTTGTGAACTTGAACTTGTTTTCCATGGAGGGACCCTTGTATGATCGCCTTGTGGATTTGTATTCTCGTGTGAGGTTGTCCTGTTCTCAGGCTCCCCAAACGAACTCCTGCGTGACGAGATTGAGAGCAAACGCTGCGGGTACTGTGAAAAGAAGTTATCGAAAGCCGCCTTTGATTGGGCCAACCGTCAAACGAAGTACTTATTGCCACTATGTTGACATATATTTCCAAAGAGCTATATTATTACTTCTTGCTTGTTGCCAACCTGTCGGTAAATTGCTTGTTTCAGGACCAGGAGATTGACTACTTCAAGGCGGGATCCACCGATGCAGCCTGCCTCAACGGGAGCTTTTTATGCCTCTACAGTGAGTACAGTGAGGGATTTACGGAAGTGGAAGTTGTTCCCAGAAACATTCACATCTTTTTGTGGAGAGCTTCCTATGGAGAGCTTCCCATGCCAAGTGGTCAGATATCGGTTTCTGGCCTTTTCCCGGGATGAGCATGCATGTTGGCTCTTTACCACGGGCGTAGGGTTTTGACCTACAGCCATAGTTCAGTTTTCGGGTCACATCGCTGTGAAGGATGGGGCATTTTGAGTGACTATGGAAGGCGCGAACCAGGCGTGCCAAGGAGGAGCCTCGGAAAGCCATGGACATCCATGCAGAACATACCGTGGTGCTGATCCCCCCGTTTGGCTTCGCAAGATGTTTTTCTGCACCGGAAACTGGAGGCACAACTGGAAGTGGCACGTGCCAACTTGAAGACAGCCCTGCACTTAAAGACAGGGCTCGGATTCGGTTCCCTCAGAGGTGTGTGGTCGATAGATGCGACTGAAATGAAAACGAAGTGGCCAGCCGATGGCTTCGAACACAAAAACTGCTCCAGCGCTTTGGGCACTGATGTGTGGTACAGTAACAATGACTGTCAAGGACAGCTGGATGTGTGGAATGCGTTCTTGGTAAACACTTGATTCCATGGTTCCTGTTTCAATACTGACCAGATGCAGTTGAATTGATGCAAACTAGAAGCTACCCACGTTGGTCATATGTGCTCCGTTTCACAACACGTCGAAACTGTTGAAGTGATCGCCGTTTCACAACACCGTCTTGATGATCGGAAGCCTCAGCTCTACGCCTTGCAGCCTTGCCTGACTACTTCAGTTCAGTGCTACACATGCCAGGTGCCGGAATTCCCCATCCTCCTGTGTTCTGCAGGTGCCGCACTTCGGGTAATTGTAGGGGAAGGCCTTCCTTTAAGACGTTGACGTAGGCCAGATCCAGATCAGACCCAGCCGAGGCCGAGGGACCCAGTGCGGCCCGGGACCCCGTTCTGACGCCATGTGACAGGGTGAAACACCAGCCTGTCCGCTCTTCGCCATGAAGACGATCCCCTTGGCCATGTGTCTTTCAGTCAAAGTGCTTTGCTTTTTTTTCTTTCGTTTTAGGACGGTGGTGCGACCTCGTGGACATATATATATATATCTCCAGGTCGCAGAACCGCAGAATCGCGGAGCCCAGGCTGAAAAACCGGAGTCATCTTCTGAGAAGAAAACACAGAAAACATGAAAACAACTTCTTGAAGCAACTCAACTTCCTACCCTGCAAACATCCTCCAACATCCTCCAATCTCCAGCTCAGTTCACCCCAAAACTCACTTCACCGAGGACCAGCTGAAGCGCACGGAGGAGGCGATGCGGCCGCGGGCGCGGCGCGGCGCGGCGGCCAACACAGGAGGTGAAGAAGAATTGATCAGTAGAGGTCGGACTCCTAGCTTTTACTTCACCAAACAATGTGGTTTTACTTATGTTGGAATTCCAGCGATGGTTTTTAGATTGAACACATCGAAGGACCTCTACTAACCCAAGCATCCAACAAACGTTGGAAAAAACGGCAAGCTTTCTTTGCCTCCGAAGTTCTCGCAAACATGAAGACTCAGTTCCTTGCCCTAGTAGGTCTTAGAGGTGGGGATTTTTTTTGGCCTGATCATACAAAAGCACTACTCAATGAGGTTTTCAGGACCAGGTTTTCCTGGGTGAGACTGGACCTGTAAAGATGGATACAGACACCCTATTTTTTCATGGCTTCACATGGATGGCGCAGTGTGGAGGCGCGAAACCTGTCCGCGATCTGTCCCAAAAAGATTTTCCCTTTCTTGCTCTTTGGCAAGATTCTTCGACCAAAAAACCTCTCAGCAATTCTTCGAAGACCCCCTCGGTCAAAGACCTCGTTTCCATGGAAAGTACGTAACACCCGCCCCAGAAGCCCCTCGCTTCAGGCTCTGGTGCAGGAGCGTGGGAATGCAGTGGCTCAGGCCGGGGTGGGCCTTGGAGGGCTGGGGAGACCGGCATCGACGCATGGACCGGATCGATGAGTGGGGGCGCACGAAAGCACGAGCGAAGAGGGAGAGGACCAAAACAGCTGCACGGACCGTGTGGCAAAGCCCGGTCGTTGTTCTGTGGGGTGGGGTCTATGAAATGTGCCAGGTCTTCATGAGTCTTCAGCTTGTCATCAGCCTGTCATCCGTTTTCTACAAACCACTGGGACCTGGGACCCCACATGTCCGACTCCGACCCGTCCCTTGGGACCGACCAGAGCGGACCCGAACTGCCGAACCGCGGGTCGGAGCAGAACTCGTTCGCTCGGAACTCGGCTCTTCGATGCCCTACTTCTGCCGCCCTTCGGTGGAGGACGGCGGTTCGGCGGAGGACGAGGGTTTTTGGGCTTCGAAGGTTCGACACTGAAGAGGACTGAAGAGGACAAACACTGTCTCTCACGTTGATGACTGTCTATGACCTGACTGATGACCAGTTTCGTGGTCTGTGGGCATATTTGCGAACGAACAATGCATGGATCCCTTGTGAATCAACTAACCACCCCAACAACTGATCAGTATAGATCATGCCGTGGGATTGGATCGTAAGCTTCCCCTGTCTCACCCACCAAACACCTACCGTGACCTGGAGGCCAAAGCCTTGGCGGAGCTGCAGGTGCAGTTCAAGCGCCTGCAGGAGAGACTGGACCACGGCGACGCCAGACACGAGGCAGACAGACAGTCATCGACGAGGCGGCAGCTACGGCGGGCCCACGGCAGCTACGCAAAGGGATGCAAGACGATGGGTGTAATATGGTGATATATGATTATATGGTGTAATAACTTAATTGATCCTGATCTATTTTTTCTTCTTCCTTGGGGTCGAACGGGTCTCCCTATTTTAATACAAACCCAAATATAGTCCAAGACCTATACTTAGAACGTCTTTTGGAAAAACATTTTTTTTTTTTTTTTTTTATGTTCTAACTCTTCGGGTTAGAACATTCTAATGCATGCATCCGGCACCATGGCTTAGAACGTTGTCTTTGATAAAGATTGAGGGTGGATCAATCAAAGAATTTGGAGAAGAATACATAAGGATGTTTGTCGATATTTATGCTCATTCAATGGACATATCTTCAACTTGATTGATGTACGTTGTAAGGGCAAAGACACTACAATAGGAAGTGTAGCACTTCGTGTTTAGCAGGCTCCGTTCGGAGGTCAACTTCACTCCAGGGGGCTATCAAGGAATCGCTGCTCTGCAGACTTTTGGCTGAAAGGGTTCAGCCACGTCACTACCAGCCATGTCGTTACCAGAGAATGTGAAAGAGTTTGGATATGGGTAGTTCAGCTGCAAAGGAGCGTTGGAAGCAAAGGGTGGGAATGTTCTAAGAGAGGTTACCCCCAAGCTAGGCAACCCATTCCGGTGGTGCCAGCTAAGAAGCGCAGAAGCACGGTCACATATGAGCATCTACAAGTCAGTTATAGGGACCACATACCTTATGCACCTTATATTATATTGATGGGGTGACCTCCGATTACTAGCCTTGGCAGCCTTGACCAAATGTCGAGGTATATGACCTCCTAACACAACAGGACGTTCTAAGAGAGGT